TCTCTCTCTCTCTCTCTCTCTCTCTCTCTCTCTCTCTCTCTCTCTCTACCTACCTACCTACCTACCTACCTACCTACCTACCTACCTATCATCTCCACATATTTGAAAGAGGCACAGTATTCCTATATCTGTTTGGATGGAGAACTTCACAAAAATGAACTTTGGAGAACAAAGGGACTGTTCTGAACATCCCCTACGCAGTGGCCTAGATCTGCAAAGATCATTCCAGATTCTTAGGGACGGACAGAAATTCCTCCTAAAGAGTAAAGACTTTTTTTGCTAGATATGTAAGTAAATTTAAAATTAGCACATCCAGTCCGATGGGAATCTTTAAAGCTTACTTCTTTGAGTTGTATATTAAGCCAAGGAGGCATATCAAAAGGTAGCTTCCTGCTATTTGCAGAACTAGTCAACTGAAGAAGCTGCTGGGGAACCAGATTTATGTCCGTTCACCATAGAAACAAACTAGAGTAATTGGAAGGAAAAGTTCTCATCCTTAAAGAGAATGATATTTAGTTAGATTTATGACAAGGAAATACACTAACAGTAGTTTATACACTGCTCAAACAACTAAAGGGAACACAAAACTACTGTATGTAACGAACAAAGTATTTAATGAGGCTATTTCATTCATTCAGATCTCGGATGTCTTCTGCTTGAGTTCCCTTTATTTTTTTGAGCAGTATACTTTCATTTAATTAAGGGTACGTCTGTTTCATCACAAAATCTGCTTTATTTCTTTTTCTTTTCTTGGAAAAGTGCCTCTTCCTTCTGTGACATCAATAGCCCCAACATTAATCATTCTTCTTCTTCTTCTTCTTCTTCTTCTTCTTCTTCTTCTTCTTCTTCTTCTTCTTCTTCTTCTTCTTCTTCCTCCTCCTCCTCCTCCTCCTCCTCCTCCTCCTCCTCCTCCTCCTCTCTTCTTCTTCTTCCACCTCCTCCTCCTCCTCCTCCTCCTCCTCCTCCTCCTCCTCCTCCTCCTCCTCCTCCTCCTCCTTCCCTATGAAGAATTCAAGTAGTGGAACCTCTGTCATATGTTTCCTTATATTTCTTATATCTTCATAAAGGGTAATGGAAAAGAAATAGAATTGAATAGATTTAGAACTAGAGAGGTTTTTATCTGTAAAAAGAACATGAGTGCGAATAATTGAGCAACGAAAGCATCTTTTTTTGATTCTGCCTAAGGGCAAGATGTTCCATAAAATGTTATTTGTTCTGTTAGGAAATTTCTCCTTAGTTCTAGGTTGGTTCTCTCCTTGATTCGTTTCCATCCATTGCTTCTTGCCTGGCCTTCAGGTGCTTTGAAGAATAGCTTGATCCCCTCTTCTTTGGGGCAGCCCCTTAGATATTGGAAGACTGCTATCAGTCATATCCAATTCCTTTAATCGTCCGAGTTGCTCTTCTCTGCATTTTTCCCAAAGTCTCAACATCTTTTTTGCAATGTAGTGACCCAAACTGTATGCAGCATTCTATCTAAGTGTGGTCTTACTAAGGTTTTTATAAAATGGTACTCATGATCAAGGAGAGAAGCAACCTAGAACTAAGAAGAAATTTCCTGAACAGTTAGAACAATTAACCAGTGGAACAACTTGCCTCCAGAAGTTGTGAATTCTCC